GGTTCTGAATCATCAGTGACAAATGCCAAATCAAATTAATACAACTTCGTCTTATCTGTTTTGGCTTTTTGAAGTCTTGACCCTTAAGATCCTCATCTCCATACCCTCAGCACTGGCCCCTTTCTTTCCAGTAACAAGAATGCAACTGAGGGTGTTAGCTGGCAGACAACTGGCTCCCTACGCTGGGGAAGAGATGCTCTTCTTTGCCACTTGTTCATTCACGTTTCCCAGCAGCCCGCTGGGGAGCCATGTGCGGAGGGTCGTGCAGCAGAGTGAAAAGGACCCCCGCCCCTGAAGATGCAGCATCATGAGTGCCCCGTTAGCCTTTACCTTCTTAGTGAGGCAGAAAGTTCCGGCTATGGTTTCCACCACAACCTGATCCGAATGTGTACAACAGTGCCCAACATTCTCCTTGCTGACCCTCCTCTCAAGCCCTCCCTCTGGTTTTCCTTCTACCGTCTTGAGTTTTCTATCTCCCCAGGGGCTTCTTCCTTCACCACACGCTGTACATGCTGACAGCCCTCTACCTGTCACCCTAGCTCCTGGCTCTCTCCCTGGAAGGACTAGTCACCAGACACGTGAGCTGTACTATCATCTCTCTCTTCAACGCTGATGACTCCCAAGTCTGCTTCAAACCTTTCCACTGCTCCTTCCAGGTCTGTACCAACGGCCAGTGGACCTCTCCATTCTGAATCATCTCAAGGCCCTACAAGAAGAATTCCCTATGTTCCACCCCTTTCTGCCTCTCTTCCCATCTGTTGTTCAAAAGCACAATTGCCTGTTCAGCCACCCAGATCTGAGTTTCTTAAGACACTTGATTTTTACACCCTCATCACACACAGGCCCTTATAGACCTTACTTTTCACTATTCCCACAACTGTCTCCCCAGTTTCTGCTGCTCCTACCTTTGTTCAAGCCCTTTGCATTTGTTTTCTCCATCACTGCATCAGCCTCCTCACTTTTCCTCTTTCCAACCAATCCTCCCAAAGTTGCAAGCTTCTCAAACTATAGATAGGGGCATGCTATTCTCCTGATGAAAATCTTCTCACAGCTTTCTACGTCAATTGTCTGACCCCAGTACAAGCCCTTTTCTATTCTGACCTCAGCAATCCTCACTCCCTTGTACTGATCTTCCCACCCATCTCTAGTAAACGGACCATGCGTTTAATTTCCGCCTCACTTTACAGGTGGTACTCTGCCATAAGGAGCTGGTTGATGCAACCAGTTAAACTCACCCTATCCTTCTACACTTAATTTCAGCATCACCTCACGGCAAAGGTGACATCTTTCTTCTCGGAGGGGGTTGGGGAGAGATAGGAAGACCTACCTATCTACCTTGCAAAAGTAGGAAAGCTACCTCTGAAAACTGAGCCATCAAAAGCCACCATGGAGCACAGCTTCATTCTGGGACACAAGGGGTCATCACGACTTTGAATCGACATTGAGTCTAAGACAACAGATGGGAAAGAGAACACAAGTTGTGCAAAGACTCCAAGTGTTTGCGCCTTGTGTGTAACTATTAGGGCATGTCCCTGTAAGCCAACCAGCTCTCTTATTATCCTTTTCTCATTCCATAAAGATCCCTAAAGGCACAGGAATATGCTCTTTTCAACACTCATCTGAAGCCTAACATATACAGGCCTTCAATTTCTACTGAATAAATAGAACCCACTGCCATCAAATCGATTCCGACCCCTAGTGACCCTAACAGGGTTTCTGAAACTGTCAATCTTCACAGAGCACAAAAACTCACCTTTCTCTTGAAATTAATAAATGTGAGAGAGGGGAAATAAAACCTCAAATGCTTTTATTTTACTCTAGATCAGTGGTTCTCAACCTTCCTAATGATGTGACTCTTTAATGCAGTTCCTTATGTTGTGGTGACCCCCCAACCATAAAGTTATTTTCGTTGCTACTTCATAACTGTAATTTTGCTACTGTTATGAATCAGGCAACCCCTGTGAAAGGGTTGTTCAACCCCCAAAGGGGTCACGACCCACAGGTTGAGAACCGCTGCTCTAGATGGAACTTATCATGTATGTCTATAGACTATGGTAGCTCACAATTCCTCAGGTACAATCAGGAATGCTATGCCAGTGTGAGTAGTTTCAGAGTCAGACCCTCCTGCCCACCTCCTTGCAGGCAGTCTACGCAGCCTAGGTTTCTCTGGAAATACTCAAGTTGTCTTTAGAGCACCACAACAAACCATAGCAGACTCAGACTTTCCCAAAGAGAGAAAGCAGTTATTCGGGGTTAAAGTCCTTGCTGCCCATGATGGTCCCATAGCACTCTGATGTAGAGCCACAAGAAGGTACACAGAGTTGATGCCAGTCAATGGGAATTTGAACACAAAATTTTACTTAAATAACTAAATGGCAATACAATCTAATCTATTGATGGCAACTGGGGTGGTGGACCCTTTATTTATATTAGGAAATCCCATGCAATGTACAATGGTGCCCATGGTGGAGCCCTAGTAGCACAGTGGGTTATATGCTGGACTGCTAACCTCAAGGTTACCAGTGTGAACCCACCAGCTGCTCAGTGGAGAGAGATGAGGCTTCCTGCTCCCCCAGAGTTGTACAGAAACCCAAAGGGGCAGTTCTACTCTGTGCTACAAAGTCATCATGAATCAGAACCAACTCAGCAGTGGTGGGTTACGTTATCTCCTAACTACTTATTACAATTGCTACCAAGCAGCCCATTAATAGAGCAAAGCTTAATTTTCTTTCATTTTATTCTGCTTGCTAATGATAAGGCGAGCAGCATTAAAGATAAAGGTTCTCCAAAGCTGGGGAATAGGACAATCACCCCTATTTTGGTCTATAACCCTCTTTTACCACTTGCAAATATTAAACTACATCACTCACACGGAAACCTAGGATATATTCACTTAATAGCTCTTTATCTAACCATATTATATGTTAGACACAATTCTGGGGATATGATCAAGGACAAGTTCCTGTCCTCACAGAACTCCAAGTGGAGCTATGAGGAAATAAACAAAATACAACATTAGGAACGATGGTGAGAAAAGAGTGAGAAGTCATAATTGGCGTCCATTATAAGCCACTGTTGGAAAAGCCTTGGTGATAGTGGTTACATGTCAGGCTGTGACCGCAAGGCTTGAGTTGGAAATCACCATTCTGTGGGAGCAAGAGAGGGCTTTCTAGTCCTGTAAGCAGTTATAGTCTAGGAAACTCAAAGGAGCAGTTCTTCTACCTTGCCCTCTAG